AGAGGGCGAGGCGCCGCGGCGGCGCAGGAGGGGGCGGGGGTCCAGCTCCGGGATGGGGGCGAGGCGGGGAACCCTGGGCCCGAGGCCGAGGCCCGCGGCCGGCGTCTTCCGTGAGCGCCGCTCGGGTTCCGCCCCTTAAAGAGGACGCGCCGCGAAAACCCGGCTCCCGGCCCCGGAGATCGATTTCGCTCGAAACCAGACCGCGATCTGGGTTTCCCTCCCGGCGTCTGTCTGACCACTGAGATTCTTCGTGGTAGCTTTCCTTTTTACCCAGAGCTAGGAAACGCAGGTGACCCGAGGCGGCTTTGTACAGAGTCGCTTCTCAACCTAACGTAGACAGAGCTTCGGTCATTGCCCTGAGCTAGATGTCGTGCAACGCCCCGCGGCAGGGGGTGCGGGCGCCCCGCTCTGTGGGTTCGATCGCTTAAGGAGGGGGGCCCAGCAGGAAAACACGGAAACGTGCAGCTTCAAAACGCCACAAGAGCTAGGAAAGAAATGGAAGACTGGGACTAAGATAGCGTGCGGCTTAGGGGAAGGGAAGACCTTGGGGGAGGGACCAGAAAGAATAAAGCCCTAACATAGGAAGGAGCCGGGTGTGAGGTTTAGAGTGTGCGTGTGCTCGGTTAACCTGGAAGAACCAAGGGGTGGCCAGATAGCCCCCTGGCCAAAGAGCAGAGAGACAGAGCTGGGCATCGGCGCACAGGCGCAAAAGGGGCCGTGAGCGGGGTCCTACAGCCAGAGGTTAACGAGGCGGCTCAGCCTGGGGTACGTGGACGTAGCTGCCTATGCACAGCCTTCCTCTCAGGGTGAGCGAGGAGCTTCTGCAGAAGTCTGGCTGCGCTTGGGAGTGGTCCCCACGAGTGGAAGGGGCGCTAGGGAGAAACACAGAGACACTGAACGCCAATTACTCCCACAACTAGAAGTGTGACAGTTATTCAGCAGCCTTAAGGAGTGTCCAGAAAATGCCACCTAGGCTGCTGATACAGATAAACCACTTGCCACTTTCACAAGATGCTGTACGCCCTTCGCAGCCCCCAAAGCAAAAACCCTTTTTTAAAAGTAATTAATTTATTGGGAACCAGCAGTTAGCGTAATGGCTATGTCGCTGGACTCCCACGTAGTCGACCGCGGTTCGTGTCCCGGACCCGGTGGCTTAAAACTCACGCCAGGCGCGTGTGCGTGCGTGCCCAAGATCCCGAGAGGAGAATGGAGGAGAAGGGATTGCGGCGTGACCATCCCCCCTGGGGGGTGATTTCTCGCTTTCTGTCTCTATGTCTCTCTCTGTCTGGCGAGCGCACGCACCCTACAGTGAAAAATCTCTCTCTCAAAAAAAAAAAGTAATTAATTTATTGAACCTTATTTACTTACATTATAATTTGATCAGAGAGGGACAGAATGAGAGAGAGAGAGAGAGAGAAAGCCACCAGATCCAGGACTTGAACCTCAGTACACCATGTGGGAGTCCAGCACCTTTAACTACCATGCCACCTGCTGGCTCTGCAAAAGTCATATTTCTAACACTGGATAAATGTGGCCAGCCACTAAATATCCCCTTCCCTAACTCCCTCCCTCCTGATTTACTTAACCACACTATCCTAAAGGTGCAGAGAATGTTCTTGTGTATCTCGGATTCCCTAAAGGATCTGCGGACTTAATATGAAACCGTGGGCCCTGGGTTCTGTTCCCTGAATTAGGTGGTAACCTTGTGGCCCAGGCAAGCCTTGCTAGACCTCTGATTCCCATTAAGCAAAATGGGGAGACTTCAACTAAAACTATCCTAGGTCAACTAGATGCTCTACAAGTCCTCTAGACTTGCGCTTGTGACTCTGGGAGTCGGTGTTTCACAGTAGTGAAAAACATCAGTTCTGGAGCGAAATAAGCCTGGCTTCAATTCCTGGTTCTCTGTAGCCTGAATTACGCTAGGAACAAGTTTCTTGGCCTCACTCAGCCTTTGTTCCTTACTTGTAAAATGAAGGCAAGAATAGTACCTACCTTGGGCCAGCAGGTGGTGTGGAGGTTAAGGCTCTGGACTCCAATATGGTTGACCATGTTTCAAGTCCAGACCTGGTGGCTTGAAAATCACACGGGAGTGTGTGTGTGTTGCATGTGTGTGTGTTCCCCAAAATTCCAGGAGGGGAATGGAGGAGAAGGGATTGCAGCATGGCCATCCACCCAGGAGGGTGATATCCCACTTTCTCACTCACTGTTTCTCTCTATCCCCAGGACCCACATCCTATGGCAAAAACCTTATTAAAAAAAAAAGAAAGAAAGAAAGAAAAGAAAGGAAAAAAAAAAAAAGAAAAGAAAGAAAGAAAGAAAAAGGAGCCAGCAGGCGGTGTGGTGGTTAAGGTGCTGGACTCCCACATGGTTGACCGTCGTTTGAGTCCCAGACCTGGTGACTTGCTTTCTCATTTTTCTTCTCTCTCTCTCTCTCTCTGGCAAGCACATGTGCCATGCAGCAAATTTTAAAATAGTAAGAATGATAAATGAAATTAAATAAATAATTATTAAAACAACAACAAAAACAGGCATGTGCCCCAAATCCCAAAATCCCAAGAAGAGAAGGGATTGAGGCTTGGCCATCTTCTCAGGAGGTGATTTCTCCCTTTCCCTCTCTCTGTCTCTCCAGTAAGCACACACACCCTATGACAAAAATCTAAAAAGAAAAACAAACAAACAAAAAAAAACAGTTAAAATCAAACTGGAGAGAGGGGAGGGGGGCACTGTTGATGATTTTGATGGATGCTAACGTTTGAGGACCACCCTCCAGGTAGTTTGCATCCGGTCCCACACCATGCACACACCTGTGATCCAGGCCAGCTGTGACTGGGGCCGGATCTCGGTGAAGACCCTGTTGGGGGTACCTGTCTCTCATTGTTTATCTAACTCATGGAAGAAATAAATTTTAAAAGTTAAAAGAATTTTTTTTTTTTTAGAAAGAGATTTTTGCTGGGGCAGCAGGTGGCATGGTGGTTACGGGTGTTGGACTCACGCATGACTGACCATGATTTGAGTCCCTGATCTGGTGGCTTGCTTTCTCAATTTGTCTACTTTGTCTTGCCCTGCCCCTCTCCAGTCAAATTAAAAAATAATAAATGAATAAAGTTAACTAAAGTAATTCTTAAAAAAAAAAAGAGAGAGAAATTTTTACTATAGGGTCTGCGTGCTCACCAGAGACACAGACGGAAAGAAACATCTCCCCCCCAGGGGGGATGGCCACAGCAATCCCTTTTCTAGTCTCCTCTTGGGATTGTGCGCATGTATGCACACACACCTGGCATGAGGTTTAGGCTGCCAGGACTGGGGCTTGAGCTGCTGTCAACTATATGGGAGTCCAGCAACGTAACCATTACACCATCTGCTGGTCCCAAGAAGTTAGAAGAGTCGACAAAAAAATTAACATGAATAAAAATGAGACGGTATCTGTCTATGACAGTATCTTTTTTTTAAAGAGATTTTTGCCATAGGGTGCATGCACTCACCAGAGAGACAGAAAATGAGAAGTCACCCCCCACAGGGGGGTTAGGCGGGGAGCATGGCCACACTGTAATTCCTTCTCCATTCTCTCAGAATTTTGGGCACTCATGTACACATGCCTGGCGTGAGTGTTAAGTTGCCACGTCTGGGACTCGAACTGCACTTGACTACACAGGAGTCCAGTGACATAACCATTACACTGGTCCCTGCCTATGATAATGACTTGACTAATATGTACTGTATTCGTGCTGGGAAAAACTATTTCATATAGATGTACAATGATTAAATGTAAATATTTGGAAAGAATGATATATTTTACTTTATTATTATTTTTAAATTTTTAATAGGGCACATGCACTCACTAGAGAGAGAGAGAAAGTGAGAAAGTAAATCACCAGGTCTAGGACTCGAACCACAGCCAGTCATGTCAGAGTCCAGCACCTTAACCACTATGCCACCAGCTGGTCCTAAATGTAAATTGTTTTAGATGTAAAAAAAAAAAAAAGAAGAAAGATGTCATACATAAAGAAGCACCAAGAATAGCAAAAATAATTATGTTTTAAGAATAATTTTATTTAACTTTATTCATTTATTTATTTTAATTTGACCAGAGAGGGACAAAGTGAGAGAGAGAGAGAAGTGAGAAAGCAAGTCACCAGGTCTGAGACTCAAACCATGGTCAGCCATGTGGGCATGTTGAGCACCTTAACACAACACCACCTGCTGGCCCCAGCAAAAACAATGATATGAAATATAAATCCTAACCCAAAATGTGTTAAGGGAAAACTTTCAAAATGACATGTTTAGGCCACCTGGTGACATAGTGGATTAGGAAGGTGTATCCCACATGGCCTACTGCATAGTTCGTGTCCTGGACCTGGTGGCTTGAAAATCACACTGGGCACATGTGTGTGGATGTTCAAAATCCTGAGAGGAGAATGAAGGAAAAGAGAGTGCAGCATGGTCATCCCCCCCAGGGGGTAATTTTGCACTTTTTTCTCTGTCTCTCTCTGGTGAGCACATGCGCCTTCTAGCAAATTTGGGGGTGGGGAGGGAATCACAGCTGTTGGCTTGTGGTCAAGCTGCTTTGCACTTCTAGGTAACTTCTTTGTTTTTTTCATTACCGAAGGGTGCATGTACCCTTGAGGTGAGGGGAGGAGAAAGCACCACCCCCAGGTGGGACTTGGTCATGCTGCATTCCTGTTCCTCCATTTCCCATTGCAGCAGGATTTAAGGCACAGACACACATGCACCTGCCGGTTTTTCAAGCTTCCAGGGTTGAGATTCAACCACGGTGGCCATGTGGGGTCCAGCTTTCAATGCACCATGCCTAAGCCCTGCGCTATGCTATGGGCCAGCCCTTACAGGGTGACTTTATGCAATCCCCGGGCTTAGGAGTAGCAGAGGTGTAGCATGATTAATTAATGAATAGACTGACTGTACCAAGGAACAATGGCCAGACCATACATGACACGAAAACTGACCACTGCCTCTGCAGAAACCAGTCCAGGAACCCAGACCACAGCCTCAGCAGAACGTCAGGACTCCCTCAACGACTGTCAGCTGCCCCTATTTCCAACCCTGGACTGACTTGAAAGAGCCAAATAGCCTCTCTAAGCAATCACACTAGATCCCCACCAGCAGCTTCCCCTGCCAGATACTGCCAATTGGAGCACTCCTGAAACTTTTCCCACCACCATTGTCTGAGTTTCCATTTGTATTTGACTCTCTGCCAAGTGCAAGTAATGGTGCTTCACTTTCTTGCCATAGAAATCTCTGAATGCATGGCCTCTGTCCTCTTTGGGTGGTCTTCACTGATGTCCAAAGAGTCTTCTGGACCCTGGAAAGCAAGGTAATTATTAATAGTTCCCAGTTCTTGGAAATGCTGGTGCAGTTCTAGTCCCACTAGGTGGCACTATTCACTTTGCAAAGTGCAATGGACGGATCCCAGACTGTTGGAAAGGAGAGGGAAGGGAAAAGATTCAAATGCCCATGAGACTGGCTTGGGCAGATGTGATGCAGGGCAAGTACTAGTTCAAGTACCTGGGAGGAGGGGGTGGAGCGGGGGAACTGGCTGGCTCCAGACTCAGCCTCAGAATTTTGGCATTCTGGGCAGGATGATAGTGTGTGTGTGTGTGTGTGTGTGTGTGTGTGTGTGTGTTGCAGAGGGTGTGTGTTGGGGGGAGACTTTCCTGTGCATCATAGGTATTTAGCAGTATCTCAGGCCTCCACTCACTGAATGTCAAAAACACTCCTGTTTGCGGCCGGCAGGTGGCATGGTGGTTAAGAGCACTGGACTCCCATATGTCTGACACAGTTTGAGTCTTAGACCTGGTGGCTTGCCTTCTCACTTTCCCTCTCTTGCTTTCTTTCTCTCATCTGTACCTCTCTGGTAAAACTTACTTGTTCATTGTCATCATCATCTTCTCTTCTTCCTCATCCTTCTCCTCCACTTCTTCTTCTCATGATTTTTTTTTCCCAGACAGTCCCAGCACCAGCCAGAGAAATGGCATACCCCCTCCCCTGAATGGGGCATGGTCATATCACCACTGTTTTCCCTCCATTCTCTGTTCCACTAGGATTTGGGGCACATACCACACTCGGTGTGTTTTTCTTTTCTTTCTTGCTTTTTTACAATTTTAAAATTTATTCATTTATTTAATTTGACGAGAGAGAGAGAGAAAGTAAGAAAGCAAGCCACCAGGTCCAGGTCTGAGTGGTGGTCAGTCATGTGGGAGTGTCCAGCGCCTTAACCACCATACCACCCACTGGCCCTTCTATTTTTTAAAATATTTACTTTTTTATTCCTTTATTTTAATTTGACCAGAGAGAGCACACACACACACACACAGTGAGAGAGAGAGAGAGAAAGCAAGAAAGCAAGCCACCAGATCCAGGACTCAAACTGCGGTTGGCCATGTGTGAGTGTCCAGCACGTTAATCACTATGCCACCTGCTGGCCCCTCTTTCTTGCTTTAAAAAAAAATTTGCTAAAGGGCATGTAGGTTTGCCAGGGAGAAAAACATGTGCCAGCTCCGGGACTCACACCACAGTTGGTCATGTGGGATCCAGTTCCACACACACAGGGCTCAACCACTGCACTGCCAGGTCAGCGCTCCAGCACTTCCTCTCGTGAGAACTGCTCTTTCTCTCGTCCTGGTTTCCCAGCTGGCCCTTCTCTCAGCGTCATAGACTAGGTGCTACCTGCGGTGTGCCTGGGGCAGAAAGGAAATGTTTGGCCCCAAGCGGCATTTCAGTAGAATCAGCCGACTGGAGGCAGCTGTGTGAGGGCTTTCTCAGGCTCTGCCCTGGTCTGGGCGTGGCCAGCCGTCTTAGAGGGTTCTCAGTTCTTGGTTCTCCTTCCACCTGGTCTGTAGAAGAGGCGTGAGCTGCTTGCTCTGGCCTAAAGTCATGGGGAGAGACAGGAGGCTGGGCTGTGATGGGGGAAAAGAAACCCTGCCTGCCTCCCTTCTGCAGCCCTCGCTCATCCCGTGTTCATGGACAGAAAAGAACGAGGAAATTAGGAAAAGGCCAGGCAGGAGAGGCGGTGAGTCCTCCCAATGGGCCCGGGCTGGGCCGAGTGTTTCCGGATCTTCACAAGAGCACCATGAGGACGCTGTAACTCTGCTGTTTATTTCTGCCTTCAGATGAAGACAGTGGGGTTTGGAGCCGGAGTTGGCCAGCGGTCCTGTGCCTGTGCTCTTCAACAGGACTCCAACGGAGAGGAGGGAGATGGTGTTCTGCAGGGCCGCATGGCTGCCCTCTGGGGGAGAGGGGAGAAACCGAGGACCAACAGGGAGGGCAGGAGGAGTCAGATCAGGAGCTGGGAGAAGGGGACCCACCGGGAGGGTCTCCCAAGCTTCAGCACAGCACCCACCTCGGTGGGCAGCCCTGCCTTCTGTAGAAAACTCCTGGAGGCCGGCTGGGGCAGGGCCACACAGCAAAGAGAGAAGGGGCTTATGGGACCCTGTCACAGTGACAGAGCCATAGGACAGCCCAGCAATGAGAGCAGCCAGCTCCAAGAAGTCGTGGGCTGGGGACGTGAGAGGGGCAGGGATAGACACTCGAAAAGCATAGACCCCAGGGGACCATCGGAGCCTAGCCCTAGGAACTGTGGTGGGGATATTTTCCTGAATCGAGTTAGTGCCCAGCCTCAGAGCTGAAGGAGTGGATGAAGGAGCAGCAGCTTGCATCCTGGGAGCTGTCACCAAGGGACGCTCCAGCCTCCTCTCTCATGCCCACCTAAGGTGTGACTGGCAACTTGGAAGTCACATAATCAAAGGTGACTAGGCTGTTATGTGCATTGGGTCGGAGGCAGCCAGCCAGGCTCAGCCCCAGGGTCCTCCACTGCATTGTCCTGTGACCCCAGGAACAATTAGCCCGCAGGAAACCAAGTCTCTGATGTTCATTTAGAAAGTGAAAACTTACTGAAGCTTCAGCAAACAAAATAATTTAAAACTTGTACTTAGCAAGTGTGAATTCTAAAAGTTGACCTTGCTTAGCCAAAGTGGGTATGGAATAAAGGAGTATAAGGAGCCCTGAAAGGACAGAATGAGCCAGACTCTCAGCTAAAAAAGAGATGAAACTTGTTTCCTGAAACTTTTTCTTTTTTCTTTTGCCATAAGCACCCATATTCTCCAGAGAGAGAGAGACATAGAGATAGAGAGAGGGTAAAGTGAGAAATAAGCCCCCTGTAGGGATGGTCATGCCACAATCCCTTCTCCATTCTCCTCTTGGGATTTTGGTTATGCATGGACACACACCTGGCATGATTTTTTTCTCTTCTTTTTAAAAAAGAATTATTTATTTAAACTTATTTATTATTATTATTTAATTTGCTGTAGGGCACATGCACTCACAAGAAAGAGACAGAGAGAGAAAAAAAAAGTGAGAAAGCAATCTGTCAGATCTGGGACTAGAACCATGGTCAGCTACATGGTCTAATGCCTTAACTATCTTGTCACCTACTTGGCCCCACCTGGTGAGCTTTTCAAGCCCCAAGGTCCAGGACTAGAACCACAGAGTCAGCCATGGGAGATCCTGAACCTTAACTTCCAGACCACCTGCTGACAGGTTTCCTGAAACTGAACAGATTCCTCAGCTCTCTGGCTCCAGTTTGTCTGCAGGGCGCCTAGCCAGGTTCTGATGAACACCCACCTCCCACCCTCCCGCTATTCACTTCTCTCTACCTTTTGCCTTCTCTCTCTCCTAGGCAGCTCTTTGTGGATCTGTAAGGCTTAGCCTCTCTCCTTTCTCCCCTGACCTAAGTGTTGGGCCTCCTGGCTGTCCCCAGGGGCTGGCCCCCTCCTTTTAGAATTCCCTGAGTTAAAGCCAAGTGTAGCTTTCTTACAAACACTGACCTGGAACTTGTGCCCAACGTCATGTTTAAATCACCACTGTCAGGCCCATCTCCCTTTCACTAGGTTATCCTGTGCTCAGAAACTTTTCATGGCTCCCCAGTGCCCTCAGCATAAAGCCAAAATCCCACCAAGGCCTTTTGTAACCCAGCGAGGCTGGCCTATCTCACCTGTTGACCATGCCCTCCTAGGCTGTTCTGCATCCACCACCTAAACCGCCGTTGCACTTCTCCCCGCTTTATTCCTCCACTCAGAACTCTCCTCCACTTCTCCACCTACGAAAATACGTTCAGCATTTCGGCCCAACCAAAGCTCCAGGGACTGACTCCGGTGCCCCAGCCTGTGTCCGTGACCGCTTTCGCTGCACTCCCTGCATTTCACGTGCACTTCCAATGCTGTTGTGCAGCCCTAAACCACACAAGCTAGCCGTGCTCCTTGAGGCGTGTCCTGTGTCAGTGGGCGCGGCGGCACCGCAAAGTCTGTTCTCTTGACAGGCCTTCCTGGCCACCAACCTCCTCTCCGCCAAGTTTGGGAGCCCCTCTGTCCAGGGCTGCCCTCGAAACTCTGGCGTCGCCTGTCTTTAACTGTCGTGACCGCTGCCGCCCTGCAAGCTGCATGGGCAAGGACGCCTCACTCCTGGCTGGCCCCAGCCCTCCGCCGCTTTGTCCGTAGAGAGCCTATTGCCACCCGACTGTCCCGCCCCGTTCTTACCCGGTGTCTTCGGGACGTTCATGAAGTCGCATCTGAGCACCAGCTGCAAGTCGGCTAGTTCCTGCCGGCGCCAGCTGGTTTAAAGCTGGGCCGCTACGCGTCCCTTGTCCCATCTAGTCCCTGGAGGGCACTGGCCGGCTTCCTGTCCCTGTGCCTAAAGACAGGATTCCGGACCAGTGGTCAGACCCCCTTCTCCCGACCCTGCTAAATTCGGCTGGAGCCCGCGTGGTTAGGAGCAGTAGCCCCAGCCCTGCGCCCGAGGCCATCGGTAGGTGCCCCGGGAATGCGCCGAAGCGGTGGAGGCAGCGCGCGCAGGGAGCGGCTCCCAGTCCAGCACGCCGCCAGCGGCTGAGCGCTTCGCGCGGTCTCCAGCACAGGAAGTTTTAAACCACCATCTCCCCCACCCCGAAAAGGCGAGGGGGCGAGTCCGGCAGAAGGTCCTGTTTACCGCGGCTCCTCGCGGCG